AGAGGCAACAGTATGGGAGAGCCCTTGTTTGGGAGATTCTTTGCTTTTCTATTCTATTTGAGTAATGGTTGTTAATGAAATCTCTTGTCTTATTTTGGTAGCGGATAGAATGATTGATATTCTGCCTAAGCATGCTTTCTGGAGCCTGTGCATAATGCAGTGGAATGCCTGATGTAGACTGAATTGTAGCCATATAGCCCGTGCCTAAAGAGCTGTAGTACACAAACCGCTGAAACTGTTTGGAGAGAAGTAGGAGGAGAGAGTGAATAGGGGTTGCTGGGTCAGGCATGTATGGGAAAATCATATAGAGACTGAGAGGAGACTGCCCCTTCTTACGTCAAATGGACAATGTAATGTTGTGCTGTTCAACACTTTCGTATTTTGCCCCAGACAAAAGCAAGCTGCCTTCAGCTCAGGGCATGCTGTTTGCCGTTCTCTCAGTCACATACTTTCATACACTTACATTTGCCTTTAAAATATATATGAATTACACTATTAAGAAACTAATAGCAATTTTCATTGACGTGGCTATTTTATATACTTTATATGATTTACTATCCATTATGATTTGATGTATGCACTGATAAGAGATCTAAGGAGAGCAAATCTGTGTATTACCCTAAATTCATTTAAAAGGTCTTTGCCCTCTGTTGCAGTAATAACAGACCCATGGATTGGGGCTCAGATGTTTGAAAGAGCCTCAAATTACAGGACTATTAAGCAGAGGCTAACTGCACTTATTTTATCCAAGTGCACCCCCATCCCCCATATTCTTTGTAACATACCACAATGGCAAAATAGTCCATTACATGTCTTCATATAAGGTAAAGCATTTCGGTCATCAACCCCATCAGCAGTAATGGCGTGCCAAGTCCATAGACAATCAATCAGTCAGCACCCCTCAATGGCTCAATTCTTTTTGAGGCAGTTTGGTATTTTTGTAATATGAGCAATGTGGAAGATATAATATGATTGTCAGACACCGTGGATAACCTTTATAATCATAGAGGTGTGTGTGTATAAACCTTTTACCCAATTTTTTCAAAGGATGATGCATTTAAATTACAAAGTACATTTGTATACATCATAGTAGTATTTGTGCTTGCCTTTAAAATATATATGAATTACACTATTAAGAAAATAATAGCAATTTTCATTGACGTGGCTATTTTATATACTTTATATGATTTACTATCCATTATGATTTGATGTATGCACTGATCATAAGTCTCAGTCCATTAAGTGTAAGACAGCCCTGGCAGATTTTTGGCCATCATAGTAGGCTTTTTTCTTTAGGTGAATTTTTCCAGTCTCCAGTCGCTGGAAACACTCTTGGGTCTGTACACACACTCAGTACTGTGAGCACAATGGAATGATGATACTGCTCTTGTTTGGTGCATTGTGAAATGCTGAGACAGGCAGTGTCAAGATAAAAGAGGCTGCATGAAAACAAAATTTTCCAAATATTTTATTTTTTCAAAGGTGTAAATAAACGGGTACTGGAGTATGTTTTTAGAAAATATTATTTCAGTCTATCAGCTTCAAAATTTCACATTTAATTGAATGTGTTACTTGTAATTTGTGAAATTTACTAGTAATTTTGTTTAAAAGTAAATCATATGCCAAATTTCATTTAGTGTAGGTCTTACAGTACAGAACAAACATTTCAGCAGAGACTTAATGTAGTTCATTCAAAAATATCACACACACAAACGAGAATATGTTTATTAAATAAATATGTGGGAGGAGCTTCAGCCAAAAATAGTGCTGTTGTAATAGATAGTATAACAGCAGACAATAATCAAATCGTACAATAGACGTAGAACCACATATTTGCAAGATCTCTAAAATATCTTTATTGAAAACTACAAATGAGCTAGATAAATGAGATATTAAAATTTGATATTTTTAGATCTGGAATCATAATATATTGAGAGTAAGGCTGCCGGCTTTTTGAGACATTGAAATAACCTTCCTTTACTCCTGATACCTAATTTGACAACATTTATTAAAATGGAGCACTACTTATACCAAATATGACCCCATTATTCATTCTGTGAGGTTTAATTTTCTGTGGTGGTCCCCATGGTGCTACAGTCAATGGAGAAAAAGAGTTTAATGATCCTTAAAATGGACATAAAAGAAAAAAAGCGACTGGCCTTTCTATGAATGTGTAGTTGAAATGACACCTTTTTATGTCCAGGGTATCATTTCAGAAAAGTTATTTTTGTTTTTTTGTTTCTCTTTTATTTCTTAAGAAAATAATGTCAGAATAGTGCTGTTGCAGAATAGCAAGTCTCTACAGGAATATATTCAGATTATTATTTTTATAACATTATGTACCATTTGCTGCAACATTCAAAAATGATAGTTGAAATATATTTGTGATAAGAAAATTTCATAGGATAAGCTGACAGTCTAATAAATAGCTGTATTCCATTTTTGTTGTTAAAGTAACTCAAGCATTATAAGAATTGAAGTGAGATGATGTGTTCTGCACAGTTCCTACACCTTTTGACCAATTAATTGAATGACTTTTCCAGTCCTTTTTGATTATTGGATAAGTCTCTTATTTTAAAAAAGACTGCCCTTTCCAGTCAAAGACCAAACTGCAGCTATCATATACTATAAATCCTGAAAGGCCATATGTATTTGTCCAAAACTATCATTTTTAATTTCTTCTTTATGCTTTTCCCCCCCACACATTTTCATGTACAAATGTCATCCACCCACATGTGCAGCTGTGTAGAATCATCTCCTCAGAGATCGTAGAGGGATGGAGGTGCCAGTGCTTCCATTACTCTTAATATCCAGACAAACATCTGCTTGAGGTACGCTTCACTCTCTCTACAGATCAATCTTGGTCATGAGCCCATCCTCAAACTGTCTGCCTCTTACTCACACTTTCTATCCTGTGTGTGTGGGAAGGACACTGCAGTAGCAGCTGGCTCCATGTCTGCCTCCGTACACGCATCAGCTCAAGGGACGGCAGCCCATCCCCGCGCTTGTGAAACGCGTGGGGAGAAGGGGGGGGGTCGCTACTGAACCACTTTTGCATCTGATGATTTAGAGATGATAATTATATTCATTCAGTCATTCTAAAGAATGCAATTATTCTGTCTAACAGCAGCATTTTACAGCAGACACAATGTGGGCGATGACACAAGTTCATTTGATTGTATTGCAGCTGAACAAGACAAACATGTTAGAAATGAGAACTTTTGTTTGAATATGTCACAATTTAACATTTACTGTAGCAGTCACTGCATGGGCAAATGCTGGGGTTAAAGCCTTGCAATGCACCTGGTGGGGGTGTCAAATGCGATCCATGACAGAGGAGACCAGCAAGTGCAGCGTGGGCCTGAGGACATACATGCACAACCAATCACCGTGGACACAAGCCTTCAAGGACAAACACGGTCACTCAATGTGACAGAACAAGGTGCCTTGCAGCGTCCACACAAGACTGCCAGACATTAAAAAAAAGCCACATATAAAAAAAAAAACACCCCTAGTGGCATGCCAATATCAGCTAATGCTCATGATTATAAATAGAACAACTCCGTCCTGTTCTGAAATGCTGCAGCTCCAGCTTCCAGCTCTTTGACCTTAAAGAGGGGTTCTGAAGGGAAATGAAACATGGAAAATCTAATAATTCAACCCATAGTGTGTGAATGTAGTGCAGAGCAATTCAAGACTGTTCTCTAAATACAGTGAATGAGCTATTGCTAATTACCAGCTGCACAATATTCAGTTCTCTAATCCAGTTACTTTGACAAGAGCATAACAGGAGGCTGTGCATTATACACCATGTGTGGCAACTTACTCCCAGACGCATCGCTCTAAACCTTTAATAAATCCTATTAACTTTGCACAGTGTTCATGTACTGTGATCTCTGGACCAATTCATGCATACTTATTTGCATACTTATTATAGGGAAGTCGGAAGAGTCGGACTCGTAACCCAAAGGTTGCGGGTTCGAGTCTCATACCGGCAGGGATTGTAGGTGGGGGGAGTGAATGTACAGCGCTCTCTCCCACCTTCAATACCACGACTGAGGTGCCCTTGAGCAAGGCACCGAACCCCCAACAGCATAAATGGCTGCCCACTGCTCCGGGTGTGTGTGTGTTCACTGCTGTGTGTTTGCACTTTGGATGGGATAAATGCAGAGCACTAATTCTGAGTATGGGTCACCATACTTGGCCACATGTCACTTCACTCACTTATTTCCGGTAATTTTACTGGGACTGTGCATTGGATGACGATAATGCAGGTAAAACGATATTAAAACATTTACAATGAATACAGGGTTCAGTCCCATGAAGCTAGATGAAACAAACTTTGGGTTACAGGATTGGTTTTAAGTTGACAAAACCAAACTAATCCAATCAGGCTCAAATTAACATTTACAAATTAACTTTAAACCTTATATACTGAGTCTTACATATTACATTATATTACATGTCATCTATTTATATTTGTAATTAAACTAAGTTTAATATTAATTGTTAAACTGTAATTGCTCATGTGTAACAGACTGGAGGTATAATTAAATATATAAACTATATAAAATAATTATAATAAAAATGCCCCGCTTTTAGTGTTGATTCTTTTTCAAATTCAAATTCTTTTACTGGTAAGTGACCTTTAATTTGGATCAAGAGAACCTGGGAAATGATTTAATTGCTTCAGATATGTGTCGCTTTGCTCACTGCCGATTGGTCTAATTTCGAACCTGCCCCGGAGCAGGTTAGCTGTGGAGCGTAATTCACTATGGCGATGAACACTGTTGTAAGCCAGCACACTTTCATGGTAGCTAAAACCCAGGGTTGGCGCAAACTAATCTAAAACTTACCTGACTAGCCAGCTAAACTGGCTTTATGTTACAGGCTCCTGTAACTTGAATTACAAACAGAGTTCAAATATTTGTTTATAAAATGTTATGATTAAATAGCTATAATGTAAATCTAGAAATTCATACACATTTTTCCCAATGCCCCCAAGACCTTCACAAGCCATTTTTGCAATTTCTGGAAAACCTCATCTAAGTTAGCCACTTACAGAATATTATCAATCAGATAAATCAGAAGAATTTGCAAGGCATAAAAATGGATGTACAGGATCAACAAATATAAGATTTGCTGTGGCAATGCACTACCAGCACAAAGGGGCAAGTTGCTGATTCATCAACTGGCTTAAAACCTGGACCATTCTTATTGTTAATCCCTGAGAAATAGGGATGTAACGATTCACTCAACTCACGATTCGATTCGATTTCACATATTTGAATCGATTTTCAACCGGCTCGCAGTTAATCGTTACATCCCTACTGAGAAACTAAATCATTTTGATACCAGGTTAACTTTAAAAGCAGTATGCAGACTCCACGGCCAACTCAAAGATGACACATACAACTAATGCTGATTTCAAAAGATGCCAGCAGTCCTCTAGGGTAAGCCTCTTCAACACAGATGGCATTTATACCACCACACACTTCTGTACAGCAAATAAACTGGCAAAGGCAAATTTGCAGTATTAAATTCTTGAACTAATATCAAAGAGAATTCATCGCTTTTAATGCAAGCATAAAAAGAACACATCCAGATCTATCTGTCCCTATGGCCAAAAAACTGTAAACTAGATTTTTACATTTTTTCGAAGAAAATGTGATTGGTGCTTGCCAGCACAAAACTGACTACAGTGATGCTAGGGTGTTCTGGGTAGTTATTAGAGCGTTTCTAGATATCCCTGCATAGTGGTGATATTTGAGTCCCAAGATATGATTCGGGTCTTTTCTTCAATCCAAGTCTATTTGACTTTTGGCCAATTTTATTTTGTTATTATTAATTATTATCAATTTTATATATAATAGAATTTTATTAAATTTTTCCACAGCACAAACTGTGTGAGGAGGGCACTGAAACTGTGAGCAACAGTAATGATGATGCTTAATTAATCACTATATCATTAACTGCATGACAGGTCATACTCAAAATGCAAACAAGATGAGCAGTTATTTCTCATTTAACACCGATTATTATTCTGCCTTTCCACAAGATTAATGTCTTCCTGAAATCAGACACCTGAAGACAAACACCAGTGATGATTAATTATCATACAGATTAAGGTCTAAAGGTGAACCCCCCCCCATTAAATTTCAGTCAACCAAGACATTTGATCTTCTCAAAAATCTGTCTTTCAATAGCACACTCCAAAAAAAAAGAGATTTTAATAAAACTGGAATGAATGCAGTGGATGGAAAAAGGTCCTGTCATTACTTATCCCTCAAATGTCTGACAAGTGTTAGCGCCTATTTTTTTTTTCAAAGAGTACAATTAAGCTTTTTCTCAGGAGTATGTCTGCAGTGCATCATCACTCTCGTACAATTTTTATCTTGAGATGTTTCAGTAACTTCTTGTGAGAAACCTCATGAAGCAGGATACTTCTTTCATCAGTGGTGTAAAAGCCGTGGTGTGCAATGAAACGATCATCCGTGCCATTTAATCCAAGAGAATGCTCAATTCATCCCACTTTCCTTTCTTCTCTTCTCCATTCCAAAGCACTCTGGCTGGATAAAATATTTACAGACAAGGGAACTTCGTGCGTAAGGTACTTTATTTCATAGGACCCTTCTTATCCACAAACCCCTGGCATACCCCAAAACTCCAGTGGAGTAAAGAAGCAAGGCTAAAATTTTCAAACAGGGCTCTTATTTCCTCACTCTACAAAAGAACGGCGTACCAAATGCCCTGTGGGCATCATTACACACTAATCGTCACCATCTCTGATTCCACATCTAAGACAACATTGACTCTGTGCTCTTCTAATGAGCTAACACCCACATCCTTCCACATGAGCAGTCAAACACAGAGAGATACAGAAACATAAATGGCAGAAGAAAGGGACTTACGTTAGGTTTTGGAACAAAGGCACATCCTGGGATGGTGAAACAGTTTTTGACAGTGCAGAGATACTGAGCCATGACAGACAGACGGCTGCGTTGACGGCTTCCTGTGCTGGCTGTTAACCTCTAGAAATTAAAGAGAAGAAAAAGAAAAGCTTAATGTTGTTCTTAATGTACTTTCTGTACTTTTTTTAAAGAAACTCTAACTAGCAAACTTGTTACCTAATATTACCCTTTGCATGGTCTCCCAGCCACCTAGATTTCTTACAAACCAATTTAAACAACAACAACAACAACAAAACACTAGGCCTATAAAAAAAACACACAAAATATTTCAAATATTTTGTATGCGCTACAGTGTGTGCCAAAACTGCTAAAAATGCTGTATAATAAACAGCATTTAGCTTGTTTGTCCACAGTTTTAAAGCTGCAAGACAGTAAACAACAACTGAAAAAAGCACAATCTGAGTGTTAACAGACCAGAGGTAGAATGTTCAGAATGAACACCTATATTCACTAATTTAATCTAATTACATCACAGTAAAAACTGCAGTGTCGATTTTAACACTACTAAAGATCATATATGGTCCTAATCTGTCTAGTGTTAAAAGTACACCGTTCGTAGTGTTGAATTTTTAGTGTTAATATAGCACCTTACAGTATAGAAAAATTACACTCCGGGTGTAAAGTGTTACACTTGCTATTGTTGTTCAAATTTTACACTATGGGGTATTTAACACCCCTGGTGTTGTTTTAATCCTTTAAGTGTTATTAATAAAGTACTCTTTTCAGTGCAAACACAAAAATGCTATTGTATGGTGTTAATGTACAAGATTAGACATAAAATCAAGAGTCTTCAGACAGATGTATAAATTTCAACTTTTATTTAACAAATGGGCAAAGTGGCAACTTTAAAACATATCAGATGTGTAGAGGTTAATTAGTCAGTCACATTCATTAAGTGTTGCACAGAAACATAAAATAGTTAATAAAACAAAATCATCAAATTTACCTAGACATGAACAAATATTTATGAGTAGATTTGACAGTTGTGTAGCATCCATGAATGATGTTCCTCATCCCATCAGCGAGCAGGTATAGCTGTGTGGTCTCTTCTATGCAATCAAGCTGTTCTTCTTGTTGGTGCCTGCAGATCAAAGACAAAAATAACACTCAAGGTCAGCTCTCCAACTGATTTTATTTACATTAGTCTTTCATATACAACCCATCTGGCAATATTTTGAGGCAGACAATAGGTAGTGACAGAAATGTCCAAATGTACCTTTTTGAAGATGTTTTTCAGCTTGATAGGACGACATGTTTCCAGGTCCCTTGCAGTCTTGTGGTGAGGGTGGAATCAAATGAAGTAGGAGACCAATTGATGCAACATCGCTGGTCCCATTCTAAATAACAGATATGACAACTTTAGCAAAAAAAAATGCATGAACACAGAATATAGATAAAGCATTAATATAGATAATCTTATTCTGAAATATAGTCTAACCTTAGAAATCTGTTTCTCAGGAACCATTCTGCTGAGTTGATTGTGTAGTCACACAGTGGCTCTGTTCACACCTGGCATTAGCACGCATCTTGGGTGACGCATATGGCCATTCTTTTATTACAGGGTTAGTTCAAAAATGAAAATGTCATCAGTTTACTCAGCCAAGACTTTTGTTATCTTTGAAACACAATTGAAGATATTAGAATATAAGATTTCTGTCCCTTGAATGACAGTCCACGCAACTACCACTTTGATACTTCATAAACTTCATAAAGAGATCTAATCCATAAAGAGAACTAAACCGGCATGAGAAACTTTCACACTCTTCTGTAACAACGTATCCCTCCACCTCACGAACACGAACTTAACACTAAACCTGACAAAAACACGCGCAGTTAGTAATTTCTAAATGTGTACACCACCAATCATATTGTGAGTAAAATTATCAACAAAAATGTTTTTCCCGTATACTTTTATAAAGAGAAAACAATCCAACTTACCGTCTTGGTCGCTTGAAGAAAAAATGGCGTCGTCGCTTCCCGAGGCAGCAGTCATTGATACAGCTACTGTTCATATAAAAATACAATTTCTTGCATAATGATCAACATCAAATATTTGATGAAAATACATATTTGACATTTAGAGGCTGTTAATTCTTGTTTTCAGGCCTTGTCACATTATGAAGTGCTGAAAAAATAATTGATTGGTGCTAAATCTTGCTGCTTTAGAGCGGTCCAATTTTAGAGAATCAAGCTCCATGCTGTTGAAAAACTTCTGAGTAGTTTTGAGTTGTCTTAATTGGTGTGAGATTTAATATTGTGGCTTGAGAGTGTGACAGAGCCTGAAAGTGTGCATGATTCATGCCAATTTCAAGCTGTGTGACAACATAAATATAAAACGACAATTTTTATTCTGCTGTGCCTTTAGGAGTTCTGTGTAAATGTCCTCTTTGCACGGGAAATGAACAGCATTGCTTTGTTGCAAACTTGAAAAGCCTAAATTTAATTGTGACAGCCCACCAAAAAAATTGAAAGAAAGCAGAAACTTAAGATCAAACAGAAATGATCAAGGTCTCTGTTAAAAATAAACCTCAATTCAAGACAAAAAAAGACATACAGAGGTATATTTATAGCTTATATTGCTTATAGCAATAGCACAAGATTTCACTGTTTCTGAACATCAAATAGGCGATTCCAAATTAACAGCATTCATAAAACAGTAGGAAAAAAGTATGCGGTTGACCTACTGTGACCTAAGTGAACATCCAATGGACACTTTAATATCCAATCAGGCTACGGAAATGGCAGTAAAGTGCCACATATGACACTGGTAGGTCACATGACAATGACAACATGATGAATGTTGTACATTCATATAAAATTCTTTCAACGCGCACTTATACTATATACAAAGTCCTTTTTAAATTGTCTGTAGACAGTAAGTTTTTTTTGTTGTTTTTTTTTCAAAAGAAGCTCCTACTCCAGAGTGCATGCGATTTCAGATACAGCCAAAATGTTCTAACATGTTGCTTAGGTGTAGCTGGTAGCTGTTGTAGCTGGTTGGTTGGGTGATATAGTTACTTGCCAAGAACAGACAGACCAGGGGTGTCCAAACTCGGTCCTGGAGGGCCGATGTCCTGTAGAGTTTTGCTCCAACTTGCCTCAACACACCTACCTGGAAGTTTCTAGTATGCCTAGTAAGACCTTGCTTAGCTGGTTCAGGAGGGTGTGTTTGATTAGGGTTGGAGCTAAACTCTGCAGGACACCGGCCCTCCAGGACCGAGTTTGGGCACCCCTGAGACAGACAGTTTTGTCTCAGAAGAATGATAAGTTTAAATAGTAAAACAGTACTGTATGTTGGCTTTGTCAAATCAACATTATAATTGGTCGTTTTTTCACTGGGGAGTTCTGAAAGTTACAGTGTGTCTTCATAGAACAATGAACTTTTATATCAAAAGATTAAGTACAAATGTTTTCCTCTACAATATAATATAATGTTACAATATTTGAAACATAAACTCCAAACATAACTTGAAAAAAGAAAATAAGGTAGTACTAGTTAGTCTACGATCGATTTCATGCAACAAAAACTACTGGTTGTTGACCCCTGTTGGACAGCAACTAAATTTGTAGACAATACTTTTTAAAACATTGCCTCCAAAGGAACAATACCAGGAATAACAGTTACTGTTCATCTTACTTCAGCCACATCTTTCTGGAAGGTCAGTGTAAGCCTTGTACGTCCAAACATAAAGCACCCAGTTCTGTTAGACATCTATTCCAGCCACTTTATAATGAGAGGAGTCGACACACTAAAGGGCAGATTCCTAATAATGTGCAGGTTGGGGGGTACTGAAACACAACCACACATATTCATATGCTAAAGAACCTTTCACATTCTTTATGGGCGCTCACATAACAACAGAGTACACAAATTATGTTACTGCCAAACAACAGCAGGCAGCTGACCTTTGCTAAGCTGGCCCTTGATCACCCAGAAAGGGCTGAATACAGAATGGCAAACATTCAGGTAATTGTCTTAAGCTTGTTTTGTGTGTGAATAAGACAGTGGCTGTTCTATCTTGGAGTTCTAATACATGTTAAACAGAGGGGCAATCTGAAAGGTCTGGGGTGTTCTTTTTGAAGGATTGGGTGTAATGAGAACTTGATTAAAAACAAGTTGAGCTGCAGCATTTGTGCACGTTCAGGGGAAACACAGAAAAACAAATTGTGAGCACACATGAGGCTTATTTTCTCTGATGATTGATTATTTCAAATAAGAACATTTCCAACTGGACTTGTCCAACAAAATCTTTTAATATTTAATATATACACATAAAAAATGGCACCCTTGTCAAATATAACCAATAAAATAAATATGAAATAAATAATTATTCTTTGTCTTAAACATGTGTCTCAGAAGTATTGGCAACCCTAGAAACTCTCAGGAGTAAATATATAAGTAAAGTATTTTTTATAAGGTCCCCTGAGTAATTAGGACATGACTTTCTGTTTCACTATGGTATAAATACGAGGTCACTATAGGCATCAAGTTGCCTACAGATTGCCAAGCATAACTGGTCCCAGACAAAGGTAAATTTGTCCTTTTCTTTGGTCACATGATTTGGTCACACGTCCTTAAAAGCGAGAAATTCCTAAAACCAAATAGTTTAATGGTCTAGTCGATTGGTGGTTGAGTCACAGTTGTATCCAGCATCCCTGTATACCAAACAGTTACAGCGAATGGCTACTTCTATTTTAAATGATGACTCCCACCCTTTGCACAGTGAGTTTCAGCTTCTTCCCTCTGGATGGAGGTTTCTAGTCCCAAGGTGTAAGACAAAGCGGTATAAAAACAGCTTTATTCCCGCTGTTTTAACTGTGTTAAATAAGCTGTAGGGTGGTGGAGTTTTGAGCACTTGTATCATGTTGTTATTGTGATTTTGTTGTGTTTATTTTATGTTTTTAAATGTGTTTTGAAATTGTGTGTCAAGGATGGTTGTCACTGTCATTTTACTGCAAAAACAAATTTACCTGTGGGTATAAATAACATAACCTAACCTAAATTGTACAATGTATTGAATTAAGAGGTGTAATAACTGTCACAAAATTCTTTTTCAGAAAAATATTGTTTTTGAATAAGTCTTACTTTATTCAAATTATCCACTAGTATCCAAATTTTTCCACAGTGTGTTTTGTTCATATTTGTCAAGGGTGCAATAAAACAAATCGCTCCATGTCGAAGTACTAGTTATTTGTTGAACTGTGTTTGAGATCACTTATAATGTTTACCATCTTCCTATGTCTTGGCTATGTGGGCTGGGAACCCTCTTTCCAGTCTGTATGTGAGAATATCTCCATGTGCTATCCTCATTCTTCCAGGGGCAGCCTCAGACAAAAGCTGAACAAACAAAAGAAGACCCAAATACTTCAATATAAATGCTTACTCAGCCTAATTATATTATATAAAATTAGAAACAGACAAACACACACATACAAGAACTTGCAAGTGCCTTGGTGGAAGAGTGAATCTCACAGCAAGAATTGGCAAATTTTTCTCAGTCCATTAAGATGAGATGCACTGTAGTACTTAAAGCAGCTGGTGGACACACCACATACTGACTGCTACTTTTGATATTGAGCCCCGCTCTGTTCAGGTACTCATTTTTTCATTTGTGTCTGTCAAATGTCTGTGAAAATTCCATTTATGCTCATACAAATATTTACACATAGTAAATTAGAATTTAAGCTTCTTCTTTTTTTTTAAAATGTTTTTGAAGGACGTCTCTTGGTGAATTCTCACCAAAGCTCACAATACTGTGAAATATTATTACAAATTAGAAATGAAAATAGCTATTTCCAGCTAATGTAATTTTTAAAATTACATTTAAAATGTAATTATATACACTGAACAAAATTATAAACGCAACACTTTTGTTTTTTCAGTGTATATATACACTTTTATTTTTTATTTTTTTATGACCACTGCCGATACCAATATCTAACAAGCAGGGTGGCCAGTGGATAGTGTGATGCCACTATATGTAATAAAAGTTAATGATAGCGCAACAACATTAAACACAAAATTAATGCTTTACACTACATTCCTTTAAAATTCACTAAAAATAATTTGAAAACATAAAAAGTGCAGTATTCATTGACTAGCCTGTTTATAGATTTTGAAAATGAGTATAAGTGTAATGAACACTTTTGCTTGCCAGTCTAGCAGCTAGCAGTCTAGCAAAGTCAATCTCAAAACAGCCAAATATTTGAAATGACCAATTTATCGCTCTATAAATATATGGATTTATTTGTAAACCTGCAATCCTGGAATAAAGCGTGTGTCCTTCTCCACCACTAATAAGTCTGCTGCTCCAGCTTTCAGAATAGACCTGGTGAGGCCCCCAGGTCCAGGTCCCACCTCACACACATGTACGCCCTTCAGGTTCCCCGCCTGCCGGACAATCTTATCTGAAATCCACAAGGATTTTGTTGCTGTTTACATTTAGCACCCACATTACATAAACACACACACACACATAAACAGTGTGCGACTTCACTGAAATCTATCAAGTCTTGTTAATGCATTTCGAAATGGAATGAACAATAGTTGGACTGACCTGTGAGTCTCATGTCTAGGAGGAAGTTCTGAGAAAGCTGTTTCTCTGCTCTCAGATTATACAGCTTGATAATCTCCTTTATGGTAGGCAGAGGAGGTAACCGAAAACAGGCCAGTTTCTGTGTAGCTGCCATCTCCCTTCAGTTAAAATAACAACTGAAAAACATGAGTCTTTCAATTACACAACTTGTCTGTTTAAATCTTTTGAAATACTAATTCTGTCAGGACCACTATCGTCAAAGATTGGCGTTATGGTTCCGTTCTGGGCAAGAACTCCCTTGCGCATCCATGCAGCCTAGCATGGATGAGAGCAGGGAGAGCAGCGATTAAACCCCCACCCCAGAAACAGAACAGAACCAACATAGAACGACTGACCCAAAACAGTAAGCGGCGCTCCTTCTCCTGTTTTATTTTCGTTTTTTGAACAGTCTTTTGTTCTCCTTTTTCTCCCCTGTATGTCATCCGCGGTGATGAAGACCGCACTGTGAAGCGTGCAGGCCGCGCAGTTGTCAAGCCCGCCAGCCGGGGCTATCTCCAGCCTGCTGGCCTCGCCGAAGACAAGCCCGCCGGACGCTCCGAACCAACCCCTACCAATGTAAAGCTTGCCAGCCGCGCCAAGTCAAGATGTCGGCCCAGGCCCCAGAGTTCGCTCCAGTGTGGACCCAGACCACGCCTGTTCCCCCCGATCCACAAGAGGATGCTAGGGGTGAGGAGAAGGGTCGGCTGTGGCCCCAGAGTTCGTTCCAGTGTCAGCCCAAGTCCCGAGTATAGCCCACGGAGGACTCCCGATCCCCGGTTCAGCCCAGGAAGGGCTCCCGACCCCCGGTTCAGCCCAGGAAGGGCTCCCGACCCCCGGTTCAGCCCAGGAAGGGCTCCCGACCCCCGGTTCCACCCAGGAAGGGCTCCCGACCCCCGGTTCAGCCCAGGAAGGGCTCCCGACCCCCGGTTCCGCCCAGGAAGGGCTCCCGACCCCCGGTTCCACCCAGGAAGGGCTCCCGACCCCCGGTTCAGCCCAGGAAGGGCTCCCGATCCCCGGTTCCACCCAGGAAGGGCTCCCGATCCCCCATCGAGCCTAGGAAGGGCTCCCGATCCCCAGTTAAGCCCAGGAGGGGCTTCAGATCCCCCGCCGAGCCTAGGCAGGGCTCCCGATCCCCAGTTAAGCCCAGGGAGGGCTACAGGTCCACAAGTAAGCCCAGGGAGGGCTCCAGTCCCCTGTCATGGCCCACGGAGGGCCTCGGAACCTGTCAGGTTTTCTTTGCTCCCTATGTGCTCCGTCATCCAGTTTCTCTGTCTCGTGTTTTGAGTTCATTGTTCCCAGGTGTTTCCAATGTTAATTGTCATTAGTTCCAGGTGTTCCTTGTCTTCCCCTCATCAGTTCCTGTGTATTTAAAGTGTGCTCTAGTTCTTGTCCTTGGTCAGTCGTTAAACGTCATCCTGATGTGTCGAGTCCTGTGATCCCAAGCCTTTGTTCAATAAACCCTTTTGAGTTACTTTACGCCGTGTCTCCTCGCTCCTTCGTTCCTCGTGTGTGTGTGAATCGTGACACTTGTAGGCCTACATATGCGTACAATCACTTTAGACACTTCCAAAACTGGAAATCCAATTTTTAAATACATGAATTGTTTTCATCTTTGTGGCCACAGTTTTGGAAGTGTCTTTTTATGTTCTAAACAAGGGGGTGTCCCAATACTTTTGTCCATATGTATGTACAAGTCATTGCTGTTTGGTGATGAGTTTTTGACTCAAGGTCTGCATTTAAAGTCACACCAGAGGTATTCAGCTGGGATTCAGACTTGGCTTTCTGCAGACCAGTCCAGTTCTTCCACACTGACTGAATCAATCTTCTT